AAATTCGCACCACTATGTAATGGTGCGTTGAGTAAGAATTTTTGAAAATCCAAAATTTAAAAAAAATGCCCCCCACACGGTCCGAGAAAGAATTTTGAAATTCACTAAGGAAATATAAACATTTTTTTATTTGTTTCTAAATCAAAACAAATTAATCAATTGATTGATAATTGATGACAATTATTTAGTTGCTTTTGGTTACAGATTATAACAGTAGAAATTAGGTTTTTTTAAAACATATTAATGTGGTTGCCACTGGTTACATAAAATAAATTCATCATTATGATATTGAATATTATTTTAACCTATTTTTGACATTCGATATCTTTTACTCGGATGGGTTATAATCATGATCGTATATTATTTTTTAATTTCTACTAACGATTACGGTTAACCGTATGAATAAAAGTTACCAATTAAATATGTTTTATTTTTCTGATTTGTTTTCTCTWAACATTATTAGGTTATTAAACAACGAATTGAAGAAAGTTAGAATCATATTATAAAAATTATATTTTTTGGGTCTGTTAATAATGTATAAAGGTTAAATAGTAATTAATTATTTATTACTTAATATTAATTACGTTTATACCCAGCTTATCCTGTGCACGAAATTGCCGGTCGCCCGTGACCAATTAAATAATGCCAGTGGATCAACTTCGTCTGCGTCCATTGAAAATTAAAGYTATTGCTGATAATTTAATTTTCAGTTACCTAAAATTACATTTGATTGTTATTAACTACACAACACTGCACTTACGCTTACGCCTTAATTATACAAATTATACACTAACTCCCGATTGTGACGTGTGTGTACCCGAATTGCCTACCAGTGACGCCGTTTCACCATAGTTGATGTACTATTGAAAACTTTAAAATATACATGACATAGGTTATAATATAATTTAACAGATAATTCTGTATTGTTTTTAGATATGTATTTCATTTTTTATTTTTATTTTTTAATATTGAAAATAAAAACTTAAAAATTGATAACATTTTTTTCGGAAAAATTCAAAATAGCCTATTTGTGAGTCTGATTATAAGAACAATTAAAAACATTTATCTAAGTCAAGTAGTTTATTTTTTAGAATTTGTTCAAAATTCAATATTTTTTTAGTTAAATTAATTTGGAACGTTTAATAACTATTTTT